TGTGTGTGTGTGTGTGTGTGTGTCAAATAAATTTGAGCAAGCATTATATAAATTTATAGGTTATAATAATACTTGTAAATTTTTGTAAATATCGAATGTCTTGAAATTTAATACGTCATATTTTACTTTCAACGTAAATACAAAATGCCTCATTTCGTAAGCGCCAAAGATGAAATTGTAAGTATAATTATTTTGATTATAATTATTTTCTATTTCTCTTATAATTCTATAATATTACATTTTGATTTTTTGGTAGGTACAAAACATGGACGATATCAATTCTGATTTTGCTTCTCTTAAAGTATCTGTTTTGAAGAAAGCTTCTCGCATATCAGGCGAAGTAGATAGAATTACAATTGGTCCTAATTCAATAACAAATGAAAATGAAAATAAAAAATCAGAAAATATAGAAAATGAACAAAATTCTTGTAATATAACAATTCCAAAAAAATCTATTCATTCACAAAATAATGGTATTACATTTTCAGTAAAAAAAATTCTTTTAGAAAGTGAATATCAAAGAAAAGAAGAAGTTCAGGTAATATATATTTATATATATGTATTTATTCTCAAAGAAAAATAATTACATGTAATACAATTTATACATATAAATAAACGATATGTTATCATAAGAAATATAACATTTCAATTGTTTTAGAAAGAAATTGAGCGTCATTGGCAACATATGAAAGAAAATGGAAAAGTTATACAAGAACATATAGCAGTATCACGTTCACATATGGCTAAAGAACGTGAACGTAGAAGTAAAGAAAATTATGCATACATATTAGCAGAAGAAAGAATGGCAGAACAAGAAGAAATACGAAGAAGACATGAACGACAAAAAGAAGTTGAAGAATATAGGAAAGAAATAAAAGAAAAAGAAGAATTGACCAAAAAAATAATGATTTTAAGAAATATGTATGTTAAAAAATATCATGACATTATAGAGCTTTCTGAAAATTTTAAAGATAAAAATTCTTTTACACTATCATCTTCTTATGCTGTAAAATTAGAAGAATTACATCTTCAAATGAAAGTTGTAGATGAAAAAATTAAGGTAAGAAATAAACAAGAAGAATTTTTTTAAATATAATATTTTAAATACTTTTAAAAAATATTTGTATATATTAATATATACATATATATTATTTATAGATAGGTGATATAACATCTGTTGATTTAAATATTATAGTAAATCTAATTCATCAAATTGATGAAATGCATAGTATGTTTAAATCAGAGATAGGTAAGTTATTCTATATATTATATTTTATTTTTTTTCTATTCTATATAAATATAAATTTTATGTACATATAATTCTTTATATTTTTTATTCTGCTTTATAGATAGAATAAATGTTCAATGCGAAAGAAATTTAATTGGAACAGAAAATACAGTACATTCTCATATTCAATTACCAGTTTCAGAAAGTCAAGAACTTAAGAATAATCAAATAATTTCTGAAACAGCTATTTCAGAACAAATAAGTACTAATAATTCAGAAAATAATAATTTTCAAGAATGTGGAGATGAAGAAAAGCAAAGAAGTTTACAAACAGATAATATATCTTCAGATATTTCACAAATAACATCACCAACTGCTAATATAGAAGAAAATATATCAAAAACTGAATTAGATAAAGGTGAAATAATTTTTGACATAACTAATTTTTGTTTTTACTTTATATTCGTTTTTATTTTTAGATCACTTATATGAATATGTTGATAAAGATTTGTTAGAAACATACATGAATAGTCAAAAATTTTTTGAAAATCATGTAAAAATGCTCGATGAATTTTTACTATCTGCAGCTACGAAAAAATTTAGATTTGAATGTCAAAAAGCAATAAATATACCTGTAAATGCAATATCAGGTATTAATCAACAACACTTGAAAGATAAATACGAAAGATTATATAATTTGCTTATGGGAAAATCTTGGCCGGATGTTAATCAATATCCGCAGGGTGCAGCCTTTTGTAAAAATATTTTAGCTAAAAAGATAGTTGTATGTAATAATTTCATATTTAATTTATCATATTATAAAATTTAACACATATGCAATGTATAATTTATTTTAATAGAATCAAGGTGAAACACTTGTTTCGAGTAAACCAAAGATGGCATTTCCTATTGCTGCCATAATTGTAGCTCTTTGGAATGATCATTCCGATTTTGGTGACCTACTTTTATCTCATTTTCATAATATTTGTCCGTTTACGGTTCCTATTTTTATGCCAAAAATGGTAGGACAATCGAATGAAGATTATTATAAATTAATGGGTTACAAATATGACGAAGATGGTACAATTGAGAAGCATGACAAATTTTTAAAAAGAATGTCTGGTTTGATGAGATTATATGCTTCTATTACTATCACGATTCAAAGAAAAGGAATTACTAAAACTAATCCACATGGACTTCAAAATGCATGGCGATGGTTGGCTGCTATTTTAAATATTGGTAATGTAAACATTTAAGAAAATAATATAATATACTGAATAATATAATATACTGAATTTTTTGTAATTTGTTATATTTTTGTTTCAGAACCACGAAAAGAA